TTACAAGACCAAATGACCCTCCTTATATAGGAGATATTACAAGCATCATTATAACCCATTATATGCCACTTACATATTATATATTACCACTATCTACCACTATCATATTATATACATGCCACTATCTACCACCAACACCACTATCATATTCTATACATGCCACTATCTACCACCAACACCACTATCATATTCTATACATGCCACTATCTACCACCAACACCACTATCATATTCTATACATGCCACTATCTACCACCAACACCACTATCATATTCTATACATGCCACTATCTACCACCAACACCACTATCATATTCTATACATGCCACTATCTACCACCAACACCACTATCATATTCTATACATGCCACTATCTACCACCAACACCACTATCATATTCTATACATGCCACTATCTACCACCAACACCACTATCATATTCTATACATGCCACTATCTACCACCAACACCACTATCATATTCTATACATGCCACTATCTACCACCAACACCACTATCATATTCTATACATGCCACTATCTACCACCAACACCACTATCATATTCTATACATGCCACTATCTACCACCAACACCACTATCATATTCTATACATGCCACTATCTACCACCAACACCACTATCATATTCTATACATGCCACTATCTACCACCAACACCACTATCATATTCTATACATGCCACTATCTACCACCAACACCACTATCATATTCTATACATGCCACTATCTACCACCAACACCACTATCATATTCTATACATGCCACTATCTACCACCAACACCACTATCATATTCTATACATGCCACTATCTACCACCAACACCACTATCATATTCTATACATGCCACTATCTACCACCAACACCACTATCATATTCTATACATGCCACTATCTACCACCAACACCACTATCATATTCTATACATGCCACTATCTACCACCAACACCACTATCATATTCTATACATGCCACTATCTACCACCAACACCACTATCATATTCTATACATGCCACTATCTACCACCAACACCACTATCATATTCTATACATGCCACTATCTACCACCAACACCACTATCATATTCTATACGTGCCACTATCTACCACCAACACCACTATCATATGCCACTATCTTATTATATGCATTAACACAAATTTCCAGCACCTCAGTTGTCCCTGTTTTACACATCCTTCACCAGCAATAGAAGGCGCAAATTTGTTGTGTTTTCTTAAATTATGGCTTATATCTTGGTGATTGTAATGGAGCCCTGGGAACGGCAAACAATGTTTGACGATGTGTCACAAAACTGAGGTTCTAAGGGCATCTGTGGAGGGTGTCGAGTGGCATATAGAGAACCTAGGGTGCGAAGGACTTTCTCAACTGCCAGATTACCAAGATAAAATGAAAGCTTCAACTGCTGCAGAAGTAACTTAAAAAAAAATGCTGAAGAAGTAGTGCCAGGGAGTTCAGGAATTCATGGAGTAAGGAGGAATCAGAAGGGTGCAAAATTCCTGGCGGTCTGCTGAAGTGGGACTGTGGAACTTGATGCATTTGCCATGGAACTGTAGTAATCATTGCAAATAAGGTTTTGGTCCTTTGTTTGTGTCTGTGTGTTTGCTGTTCGTGGATGGTATAACAGGTTAATGTGGCTCTCACATTTAACTCAGTTCTAATTGGGGCATTTTGCCTACAATATGCACCCGTATAGTTTCTTTAGCCATGGAGATTAGAGAGTACCATTTCTTGGAACATTTTTTAATTGAAGTGGAGTAGAGCTGCAAAACATTAAGCAATATATTCTCGTGCCTTGTTAATTTGTTAAACTTTAGTTTCTTTTTCTTGAGTAACTTCACGGCCTTTTCTTGTCTCTTTGTAGTCTTGTACAGCCAAATGTTCTATAATTGGAAAATAAATGAATAATTGATTGAACATGCACTGATTTTTTTAATCGTCAATTTGAACTTCTTGCTAACACAACAATCTAATCTGCAGCACTGAGTGTAAATACTGGACATGATACTACCGTTCCATTGGTAAAGAGATTGTATATACATCCTCCTAATGCTAGTCGTATATTACTACCTGATGGTAGACACTTGGCTTATCAAGAACAACTATAACCTGCTGACAGATCTAGATTTTCAATGATTAGTGGGCATCCCTTTCTTTCATCCCGACTGTCAGGTAGAATAATCTCATTACCAATGTCTTCTAGCAAAGTAGCTAAATTAAGCAGTTGATGAGTAATACCTGTTAATTCCTGATTTTTGCATGCATTTATTTGTTATGTGCAAATAGGAATACCTGGGCTAAAGACTTCACTACTGCAAGAATTCGGCATTCGCCTGGTAACATATGATCTTCCAGGTTTTGGGGAAAGTGATCCCAATCCCAACAGGAACCTCGAGTCATCAGCTCTGGATATGTTACAATTATCATATGCTCTTGGAGTCACTGGCAAGTTCTGGGTGTTAGGGTACTCGGGAGGGAGCATGCATGCTTGGGCTGCACTCAGATACATTCCTGACAGAGTAGCAGGTATACTGCTCTCTCTCTCTCTCTGTGATAAGTGAATTTCTTTCAATAAGATGTTGGACCCAAGAGAAGAGAAGGTGTGACCCATGACCTCCAGTCCTGAAGGCTGGGTTCTGACCAGCTGCTTGGAGTTAAATCAGTCCTTTTTCTATCTGCATTTTCTGTTCATTGCAAATCATTCATGCCCATATTGACTATGTAGAATATAGATCTGCAATGGTCTCTAGGATGAGCAGGATTGCCCATTTGGATTGAAACAAGTTTTGGCTATCATTAGGTTAGGTTGAAATTATGTTGTTTAAACAGGAACACTAATTCATAAGTTTTCTGTGTCAGGAAGTGACATGTCAAAACAATTGGATTAAAGAGTTTCTCACTCTGCATGCCATGTAGCCCACTTCTAAGCTCTTATTGAAAATTTGATTTTTTTTAATATAATGAGCCAGGAAGGAGAATATAGGTCCCCAGCTGGAACTTATAAAATCTTTTTTACTTATGAATGTTGTTCATGCAACCAATCATTGAATACTTCCATAAGGTACTGTAAAACGGCAATGAACATTTGAAGCTTGCAAATCCTCAAGGAATTGGACCATTAAGGGCAACAGTGTTGTAATAGGATATTTATTAATTTTTATATATTTGCCATTTTCATGCAACAATCCGATATGCAGGTTGTAATATGTTTTTCCCCCCCCCTTCATAATACTGAGATTCTATGTCCAAGATTGTATGTGGCATCATATAACTGCACTACTGTGTTGAGAATAAATAAAGAAATGATTTTTTAATTTTTGTTTTACATGATGCTCTTTGTCTCTGATCCATCCTGTGCCAAATATGCAGGTGCAATTATGGTTGCTCCAATGGTTAATCCATATGAACCAAGCATGAGTAAGAAAGAGAGATCTAGAATCTGGGAGAATTGGACACCAAGAAGGAAACTCATGTACTTTTTAGCTCAGAGGTTTCCCAGATCTCTTGCTTATTTCTACCGCCGAAGCTTCCTGTCTGGAAACCATGGTCAGATAGATAAGTGGCTATCATTATCACTTGGGAAGAGGGTAAGTCATCTTGCCTGGTAAATCACTCTATAGCTAGACCTACTTTGATCTCAAATATTTTCATAGAATTTTCAATTTAGTTTTCTTGTTTATTGATTTAGATTGAGAAGAAGTGAAGTAAAAATATTGGGAAGAAAATTGTTGCAAGGATTAATTGAAAATTTGGTTTAGGAATCGCAATATAGGTTAGTTACTTTGGTGGTTTCTCATTGTGGACAATGCTGATTTGTCTAGGATAGAGCTTTTGTAGAAGAGCCCATATTTGAAGAGTTTTGGCAGAGGGATGTAGAGGAATCAGTCCGACAAAGAAAGGTAAAACCATTTGTGGAGGAAGCTGTCTTGCAGGTTTCAGATTGGGGTTTCAGTCTTGCAGACCTCAAAATACAAAAGAAAAACCAAGGAAAAGGCGTCATTTCTTGGCTCAAGTCAATCTACAGCCAGGCAGAAGAAGAATTAACAGGCTTTCTTGGCCCAATACATATCTGGCAGGTCAGTGCACGTATTCCTTTTGCTGTTCATTTTCTTGGCTCAATACATATCTTGAACTCAAAATAAATGTTTTGTTTTGTACCTGTTGTAGTACTGACATGAGATTGCCTGGGGGGGGGGGGGGGAAAGGCCGGGGGATTATCATGGCAAAATTTCCTTTCCTCGTATGAAATGAAATAATTTGCCTTAGTTTGTGACGCTTTGCTTAGCTCTTGGAAAGAAAAAAGGAAAAATGTTTGAAAATGCTTAGGAACAGTTTCCTTTCTAAAGCTTTTAAAGCAACATTTCCTTTCTCTATTTTCTGAGGTCCGAATAAAGCCTAATAAAGTAATTTACAAATATAATGTAAAATGGACGTATTCTTGAGTGGATGTTCAGTAATATGCTAAACACTCAAAAAAATAGTTGGATACCATAAAATGGTTTCTTGACAAGCAAACAAAGCCTTGATTATCAATCTAAAATCAATATAGATTTCAACATATGCTGGCCCTGTTTCAACCTTTTCGTGAATTTTGCTATGCTGAACAGGGTATGGATGATAAAGTTGTCCCACCCTCAATGACCGATTTTGTGCAGCGAGTTCTACCAGGGGCTATGGTGCATAAGCTCCTTCACGATGGCCATTTCACCTATTTTTATTTCTGTGACGAATGCCATAAACAGATTTTGACAACCCTTTTTGGAAACCCGCAAGGGCCACTTGCTGTTGAGGTAGATCAAACTCCCATCCAAGTAGATAGCGAGGAGAAAGAAGACAACACCCTTGGTGATTCTTCTGCCATGGACTGAGATCAATTTTCTGGTTCAATTGAACAGAGTTTGATGTACATACAACAGGTTAATATTACCCCAATAGTCATTAATGAGTCTGATAATTAAAGCCATTTAGTTTTGTTCTTCTGAGTTTTGTTTTACCAGACAGATTTGGAAGTTGGAAACTTGTAGGTGGAAAATCTGACAAAGAGGTATCATACATCAACACACGTGTCCTAATTTAAGTTAAGAGACCTATAAAAGATAAAAGTGGATATTGCCTTTTGTTAATAATTTTCATTTTGTTCCACTATTTTGTAGTAGATCCATTTTATATCTGTGTACCTGTTCTAGGATAAATGACACAAATTGAACTTCATTTGTATACATTTGGGCCAACAATAGGGTTCACGATTCAGATTTTGTCCCTCAATTTCCTCTAATCTGGTGTGTGTTTGGTTGGATTTGTAGTATAGTCTAACTTCCTAATCCCCCATATGGGGGATTAATAAATCCCAGCTTGGGATAGATAGTTCACAATCTAGATTATCTTTCCTTCACTAGTCAACGATCTAGTCAACGATCAAAAATGACTTTTTAGTCAATGCCAAAAGAAATATAGGAATGAAATTTTTTTAGAACAATATATAGAATGCAGTGTAGCAAAACTTTTGTAATTTTGTTTTTATTTAAATATATATATATATATATATATTTTTATAGCATTACCAGTTTAGAACTCTACCAGCATACCAAAATCATTTCCTCAAGTGGAAAGACTACCAGAGGCATTACAAACCATCTTAAGATTCATTGAGGCCAATTGGCATATTACAAAAAAAAAAAAAGTTAAAAAGTTAAAAAGTTACTCAAAAAGTTAATACTATTCACCAAAAGTCAACAATTACGGCTGCACAACTCCCAATTTTAATTTTTTCTTACAAATCAATTTTTACAATTTTTTATTACACATTTTTTCATAAAAAGTCAAAAAGTTAACCCAAACATCCATATTTTCTTCTTCAATTTTTTAGTTTAAAAAGACAAAAAATACATTTATTTAGAGCATCTCAAACAAACTTGAGAGAAAAACAAAAGAAAAGCTACCTATGTCATGTCTATTAATTTTCTATCGGTAATCAAACAAATAATAATAACTTTATGAGAAATGCCTATTCATTTTATTCTCAACTTGTTTTCTCTTATTTTCTGTTTTTTTCATTTTTCTTTTTATTAAGAAATTCACAAACCAAACATAATGTTATATTGACTCTAATTAAACCATTTATGGCACTACAAGGCTCATTTTGTTGGCACTTCAAGCTTTAAAAGAAAAAAAAAATGTGGAAAATACAATATTATCCAATTGTTCAAAATTTGCTATATCTATATATATAAGAATCGTTTAGTCGATTGAGATTCGTTTTTTCTTTTTGATTTTGTCTTTTATTTTGAATAATTTACCGATGGTAGCCCATTTGTTGAGTGAAAGTTTTTTTTTTGTAATTACACAAATATTTTTAGTCAATTATGCAACAAGTTTTTTTTCCTAATTACGTGAACATTCTTGGTCAATTATGAAACGTGTTTATTCCTAATCACGCAAACATTCTTGCTCAATTATGAAACATAAATATTTTATTTTTTAACAAATTATAAATACACCCATAAAGTTTGTTTAAAATATGAATCGGTCCTATACTACTATAAATAATAACTATCGTTTGTTATAAATTTTCATTTAACATAATACTTAGGGGAAAAAAAAAACAATTCTCCTATGCAATAATAAATTATCAAAATTGTTTACTGAAAAAAAATTCTCATATCATTAAAAACTATTAATTGACTTAATGATTTATTTATTAACAAAATGGTTAACTGAAAAATATTTTTCATATCATTAAAAATTGTTAATTTACTTAATGATTTACTTATTAATAAAATTTGTCATTTGTTATGCGAGTATAATTTATGTATTAATAAAATTAGTCATTTGTATATATGTGTAACTAGCAGTAAACCGTGCGATGCACGGAAAAATAGATTATTTATATTTTGTGTGATAAATAAATTATCTTAATCTTAAATTATATCTTAATAGCGACAAACCATGATATTAAGCCATCTGGGTAGATGTTAACAATAATTAACCTACAAAATTTCACAATAAAATTTGATATGCATAAGAAATTATTAATTATAAAAACTATTAAGAATAATAGTATCATAATCACCTAATAACATAAATAACTTGTATCAAACTAAACAAAACATTAAAAGAGAGAAATTCTATAAGCTCATAAAAGTTATCATAAATTTACTTGGACTTTTAAATCAGTGGTGTATATTATTATTGTGGGATCAAATTATGAATATCAACTTTTAATTATAATTTATAAGTAGTTTTTTAAAAATTTTAATCTAAGTTTGTTGCCTTGCTTATAAAAAGAACTTAAACAAATGATTAATTGATTATGTTAGCAACTCTCTATCTTTGATTTCCTCTATCAATGACACACGCATATCATATCAAAGTATAAATCCTTCTCCATAGTTTGAATAATACTTGCATAGTTTCTACGTCATTTTAAAAAAATTAATCAAGATAAGAATTTCATAGTATTATAAAAATTATATAAGAGAATAGTTTTAATCTTTTTGGTATTATAAAAAAATAATAAAAAATTATTTGAATTGTATCTGAAGAAATATAACAAATGATACTTTAATCATTATATACCAAAAAAAAAAATTATATCTGTGGGAAAAATAATACAAATAAAGTCATGGACATTGAATTAAATCATATGGGCTCTAAATTGATAGTATAATATAGCAAATCAACTAAAATAACATAGAGATATTAACAAACATGTAGTACTTCATTATCATCTTTGTATTATATTCATTAATTTCATATATTATATGAAAGTTTTATTCGTCTCGATAAGGACCAAGAAAACAAATTTGATAAGAAATTGATTCTAAACTTAATTATTGAAAAACCAAAAATTTCAAAGACAGAATTTAGAGATGGGATTGGAGAAATACTATAACGAATGACAGCCTTAAAAAAAAAAAAAAAAAAAAAAAAACATGACAATGATCTACTGCAATTTATTTTTAATAACTAAAAGAATATCAATTATTATCTTTTATAAATATAGTGAAGAAAATTAATTTTGTGAGATTTTTGTGCTGCCTTCTCCCATGTAGCCTTTATATTTTCATTATTAATACTCTTCTCATTCAGAGCGAACCAATTTCATTATTCATACTTTTCTCATTCAGAGCCAATAATTTTTTTTTTAATCTTTATCACTTGGTAGATAATATACGAATAATATAAAATTATTAAAAGAAGCGTTAAGAATTTAATAGGGAGATAAGGAAGTTATAGTAAAGACATATTCATAGATAAAAAATTTTAAAATAAAAAAGATACATGTGATAGGCAGAAAAAAGATATGAGCAAATGAAATTAAAGATTTAGATGATATATGTTTTTTGATAGATATATAGATTAGCAAATCATATCTTTATCTAAATTTTATTATTTTAACTTTTTTTGTAAATCAATTATTTAATATTTTATCTTTATTTGTAGGCCACGAAATTAATTTTTATAAATTATTTATCATTTTTCATATGTTTATTTATTATTTAAGTCATGAAATTATTTTTTAAAATAATTTTTTAATTTTTATCTTTATCTATAGGTCATGAAATAAATTTTCATAAATTATTTATGAATTTTTATATGTTTATCTATAATCAAATTAATTAAAGTACGAAATGAAGGGAAGAAAAAATGAGTAATTTTGTTTTTTTTTTTTTTAAAAAAAAATTATTTAATCTTTATCTTTATTTGTAGGCTATGAATTAATTTTTATAAGTTATTTATCAACTTTTATTTGTTTATTTATAGGAAGAAATTTTTAAATTATGTATAAGATTAATGAAATTAATTTTTTAAAATTAATTGTTTAATTTTTATCTTTATCTGTAGATATAAATTTAATTTTTAGTTTTTTTTATGTTTATCTATATAGAGAAATTTTTGAAATTCAAATCTTTATCCATAAGCAATTAAATTAATTTTAATTATAATTAATCAAACAAATAGAAAATGAAGAAAAATAAGAAAACGATGAAAGACAGTCCAAAAGAAGGTTTGCACGTAGGAAAAAGAGAGTTTCAAAATTATGAGAATTTAAGGAATAAATATTGGAGGCTTTTAACAAAACAACTACATTTGGTCTTTATCACTTTGGTAGAATAATACGAATAATAAAAAATTATCAAAAGAAATGTTAAGAAAATTTAAATAGGGATAAGAATTATAGATAAAGACGCATTCTAAGATAAAAAACAATTTAAAACTAAAAAAAGATAATATGTGATAGGAGAAAAAAAAAATTGAGCAATTGAAATAAAAGATAGATATAATATGTTTTTGATGATATATAGATTGACAAATCATATCTTTATTATATTTATTTGTTTTACTTTTTGTAAATCAATTTCTACCACTCTTATTTTATTTGTAGGCCACAAAATTAAATTTTTATAAAATATTTATCAATTTTCAGATTGTTTATTTATCTATAAGTCATGAAATTATTATTTTTAATAATTTTTTAATTTTAATTTTATCTTGATCTTAGGTCATGAAATAAATTGTTCAAAATTATTTTATGAAATTTTTATATGCTATATCTATAATGAAATTAATTTAAAGTACAAAATGAAGGGAAGAGAAAAATGCAGTAATTTTGTTTTTTTTTTTAAAAAATAATTATTTAATCTTATCTTATTGATTAGGCCATGAAATTAATTTTTTTAATTTATTTATCAACTTTTATTTTTTATTTACAGGTAATAAAGTTATTAATATTATCTATAAGTATGATTTAATTAATTTTTTAAATTAATTGTTTAATTTTTATCTTTATCTGTAGACTATAAAATTAATTTTTAGTTTTTATATGTTTATCTATATGGAGAAATTTTGAAATTCAAATCTTTATTCATAAGCAATGAAACTAATTTTAATTATAATTAATCAAACAAACAGAAAATGAAGAAAAATAGAAAATATGAAAGGCAGTCAAAGAAGCTTGCCACGTAGGAAAGAGAGAGTTTCAAAATTATGAGAATTTAGGAATAAAGATTTGGAGGTTTTTAACAAAACAACTACATTTAGTTATATATATAGTATAGATTTATTCTGTTCTTTATTAATTCAGTGAATTATCTTAGTAATTTTTTTTTAGATGAGAGAATTATCTTAGTATTTATTTTCTATTTATTTGTTGAGAAAAGTTACACACTATAATTTTTTTTTTATTTTTTATAAATTCAGAAGAAATGTTAAAAACTCATAAATTCACCCAAAATGATATAATAATAGAATTAGAGTTTACATCATTAGATGTATAACAAATCAAAAAATAATACATATCATATATCTAATAATTTATTCAATTGAATTCCATAGAACAATTCTAAACTTAAGCATAATATAATAATAACTCGTCCTTATACGGGTCTCTTTAAACTAATATATATATATATATATATATGAGGTCTGGTACACCGACAAAACAAGTTACATAATCTCTATATAGAATAATGATGTAATCAATCGTATTGAGATTTATTAATTTAAAAAGAAAATTGATATAAGTTTACTTTTTAAATTTATTTTTCTATATCTAATGGTATATAAATAAAAGAAAAAATTAGTGTAGGGTCCCTCTCCCACTTTTCGTAATAGAAGAGATCCACAGAATTATTTTTTGATGTCTAAGGTCCCTCAATTTTCACACCCATACATCATAGAGAAATTTGACTGAAATCAAACATCAGCTTCCCACTTCTCTCTCTCTCTCTCAAGAATACATACACAAATATATATATATATATATAGCTTCAACGGCGGTGAGTTTTGAACCGGACTGGCCACACTCAATTCCGCTGCGGATCGCCTTGTGCTCTGTCGTCTTCCTCCTCGTCTCTTCACAATCAGACTCCGACACCAGCCTTTGTGGCTCTAGAGGAAAGTAGTATAACATCGTGTGTAAACCTCTGTGGCTCTAGACCACAACAACAACACCAACAACAGGAAAGTAGTATAACATCGTGCGTGAACCAGCTTATTCCATGCTTCAACTACCTTAATCTTATAGGGAGCCATGACAACCCACCAGATAGTTGTTGTAATCCTCTCAAATCTGTGATTAAATCAAACCATGAATGCTTATGCAGTATTATTAGCATCAAGGCCACCAATGCAGCTCAGCAGTACGGCATCAACCTAACCGACGCTCAGCAATTGCCCGGCAGATGCGGCCAACATGTTAACCTCATCGCCTGTCTTGCTACAGCTACAGGTATACTTGGTTACAAATTCTGCAAGTTCATCATCATTGGTCTCGTCTCAAAGCATCACGTCTATGCCCATGGCAGCTTTATCCATTATTTTTCTTTCTTATTTCTTTGGAGGAGTATGTGATAATTACTGAAATTAACAATTTTTTTGGAAAGGTTTGTCTGGGAATTTCTCTGGGTTGTGGAGTCCAGAGAAATTCTTTGAGTTGAGAGAATTTCTCTGGAAATATTTGTCTGGGAATTTTCTCTAGGTTATGGAGTCCAGAGAAATTCTCTGGGTGAGCGAAGCTCTGGAAATGTTTGTCTGGGAATTTTTCTGGGTTTGGGGAGTCCAGAGAAATTTTGAATTTTTCAGAAAAATTTGAATGTTCAAAGTCTTAAACTCAGAGATGTTCATGAACTTTGAAATGGCTCTAATATTTCTTGGTTTCTACAGGAAACTAGAACCTAAATCAAGAAGCTTGCTTTGCTGGAAGGCATCTAAAGTGACTCGTCAGAAGGTAATGTTTGATAAATTGTTATGATCTTACAGCAAATTCCAGAAAGTCCACTATCTCTGAGTTTATATATATTATGTATATTTTTATAGATTTCATACTCACATATACCTGTACCCATGTGTGTATGTTTAATTTCATTCCTTCAATGGTTGTGCTTCTTAGTCTGCAAATCCCACTGATGTTATTGCTTCTTTTTTTTTTTTGGGTAATCAGCTTGATATTGTATGCACTTTCTGTCCTCCATCAACCACTCTTGAAGGTCAGAGAAATTCTTCCTAGGATTTTTCTGGACCAATTTTCTCTGTGACGTGAATTTTCTCTGTGACGTGAATTTTCTCTGGACCAATTTTCTCTGGATCAACTTGAGGGACCTTAGACATTATGAAAATATTAGATGTCCTTTATGCTATAAAATTTTAATACGAGGGATCTTAAAAAAAAAACCCCTAAGTAAAATAATTGATTAATACTTACAAAAATAAATAAAAGATAGAGTTTACTTAGATATGTAATATAGTGTTATATCATTGAATCTAAAAAAGTAAAATATTAACCATTCATTATTAATTTAGTTACATTAAAAATAAAAAATAAATATAATAAGTAAATAACATGTGTACCTACCCCCTTGTAGTTGTCTGGTAGAGTCGAGCTGATATTTCTGAAAGATGAAAACGGTGTCTATAATAGCAAATGCCAGCAAATCCAAACTGCACTGCATGACTGACACGTATCACTCTCCTCCTCTCTACATATACGCTTCTCTACCACCGATCAATTCTTCTTCAGTAGTATCTATCACTCAATCACACGATAATCCAAGAGTTGGTTTTAGTGAGAGAGAGAGAGAGAGAGAGAGAGAGAGAGAGAGAGAGAGGAGAGAGAAACAGAGATGGGTAAGAGAAGAGCTGTGTTGCTGATAGTGCTAGTGATGATGTGGTGTGCAGTGGCAATGGTGAGTGGTTATGAAGATGAAGGAGAAGAGGGGTGGAGAGAGAGAAAAGAGGGAGATGAAAGAGGAGGGAGGAGAGAGGCAGAAGAAGAGGAGGAGGAGAGGGAGAGGGAAAGGGGAGGGGAAGACTTGTTTATGTTGCAGGATGTGAAGCAAGTGGTAAGGACTGATGCAGGGGACATGAAGTTGGTGAGGGGTGGTGGTATTGGAGGAGGAGGAGGTTGGATGGTAGAAAGGGCTATGCATGTTGGGTTCATAACAATGGAACCCAAGTCTCTCTTCATCCCTCGGTATCTTGATTCCAATTTGATCATCTTCGTTCGCAGAGGTATTACTTTCTCTGCGTGTTTTTTGATTGTATCCTAGAGAGAAAATTATTACAGGATTATTAATGAAGCATGACCATATGGTAATTAAAATTGAAGTGTAACATTTTAATATTCTGTTTAGTAAGGAATTCATATAATTTATATGTGAGCAATTACAGCATTTGTATATCATAGGTAACATATATCTCTAATTTTTTGTGCAGCTGTTAAAACATATTATAAATTATAATTTTAATCAGAATATGTTAATTTGTTTGATGCAATTGTTGAATTACTGGGTAGTGTTTGATAAATAAGTTGTAAAATAAATTTTTGATGCGTAAATATCTTTTTTACTCATGTTAATTGTAATTTGAATTAACTTTCATAGATTATAGTTTTAATCAGAATTTGTTAGAATTTGTTAATCTGTTTGATATATTATAGATTTAAATTGTTGTTATAAATTTAAATTACTGAGTAGTATTTGGTAAATAAATTGTGAAATAGGTTTTTGATGGGTAAATATCCATTTTACTCATGTTAATTATAAATTGAGTTAACCTTTGTTAGTTGTAAATTGAATTAATTTTTTTTTTTATTATTCGCAAGTAGTTCATATTTCCAATTAAAAAAAACAAAAAAACTACAGTATTTTTAGAAAGAAAAATTTTAAAGGTATAATTGTAAATTAATATGCCCATAGCAATATGATGATAATCAGAAGTAGGGGTGGCAGCTTCTTGAAATTAGTTTTTTAAAATGAGTTGTTAAAATAAAAAATTATTTGAAATAAATTTAACTAAATTCTTCAAATTAGCCCAAAAAATTCCCCCAAACACCTCCCCCCCAATATTGACAACTGACACATCATAGGGTGAGAAAGAGGGTTAAAATATATCCTCATTATAACATTACTCATTTATGAGAGCTAGAGCTTATGATTTAAAAACAAAAGAGGTGTGAAAATAAGAAATTTTTAATCATCCCTAAAGCTTAACGTTGTGTTTGGTAGAGTTTTGTCAAAATGATTTGAGAATATGAATTGTATTTTGAGTTTGTGAGTTGTGTAATTATGATTTGAGTGTAGAAAATTTGTTTGGTTATGTTTTTTGAATAGAGCGTTGAATTGAGTTTTGAATTGTATGTGGAATTGAGCTTTGAAAGTTTGATGTGGCATGTGAAATAAGAAAATTTGTTTGGTGATGAGTGTTCAAAACTTAATTTAACATATAATTGATAATCAAACAAACAACTCATAACTCGATATTCGTATTTTTGATTAGCAGTCATAACCAAACTGTTTTTAAAATACTCAAATAAAAAAATAATTTTTTTTCTATTAATTGTTTTTAAGTAATTTTTTTGAATAATTTTTTTTAAATATTTTTTTTTTCAAAAAATAAGGATCGCAAATTCACGTTTCGACCCAAAATCGTTTTAGTTTATGAAGAGTACTCAATGTCCCTCCAGTGAATCACAATATAGCCATCCCACAAAACCCGTCACACTCACGGTGATGACGTAATACCCAAAACAAAATTTTCATGATAGAGACCCCTATAAATTTTGAAATTTCCAACCACGCAACGACACAAAGGGTGAAATTGCACACCCCTTGTAGACCGCCCAAACCCCGCTCCGCGTACGGGGGCGCGAATTGTAGTTCTAGCTACTATAGTTCGGACTCCTGTCACGGTTCTGAATCTAATCTCACAAAGTGCAATGTAAGACTAATAAATCACCAAAGAGTCCAAATCTGGCAAATCATTTTGGAAAATCGATTTTAATCAAAAAGCACCAAACATGGACTGCTTTTCCAGATTTCAGAGTCGCCACCTAAATATTATGTTTTTGGAAAATTTAGAAAACCCTGACTCGCGCCTAAGGCCACGTGTCCGTCATCACCAAAGTTGCCTCGACTCCGGAACTTGGGTACGATTGGGAA